ATATATATATATATATATATATATATTTCAATACCATGCATACATATATATATATATAGCGTAAATTTAGATTTGTCTAAAAATCAGACCGCGTACCATAATATTTTCGTTTACCTTTTCGACTTATTAAAAATTCATTGTTATTTCATGATACATTATACGAAAATTCATATAGTTTTTGTAATGTTATTATGTAATTTTTCCCGTCTACTTATGTAATAAATAATAAACTAAAGCTCCTTTTAAAACCTACTCTGTAAATCATTTAAATACTCTTTTTGTTTGTCCCTTCTCATAAGGTCCCACAGGTCCGTTTTCAGGTCAATGGATTCCTTGACCTAAATTTAAAAAACCGAACGCATTGTGTCAATAGACGTTGTAACGACCATTTGGTCCGTTGACTGATATTTGAGATTTACACAGATACGTCCGATTCGTAACATATCTCTTTCCAGACAATGTCCTATATAATTTACACAGAGCACTTGATATAAAATTATCTTAATTACGACTTAAAGAATAGTGTACTATATGTTATACTGTTTATACACGTCAATATTTTTAGAGCAATAAAAAATTTTTTTAGTAAAAAAATATTAACGCGAATGAATACAGTTAATTTTCAAATATATAAAATAAGGCTCGAAAGAATGTATTAGTGAAAAATATAAAAAAGCCCATCAGAGCCTACATCGGCTGTTCGGATGCACAGAAAATTCTTTATTTTCGTGTGAATGTAACGAAACGAATAAAATAAACGTTTCGACCCTTCAATTCAGGTCCTTATCAATATAAAATATAAATCGAAATTACATAAATAATGCAAAATCCAAGATGGTGATTCCCGACAATTTAGCTCGTTCTTCTTTATCCAAATGCTAAATTAGCTATGTAATGAATAGTCAAATGATTATCAAAAATATTAACTTATATACAATAATAATATAAAAACTTGCATGAAGTAAACCGAAGTCATATACATTGCGTCAATAAGTAGAATCACCATCTTGGAATTTGCATTATTTATGTAATTTCGATTTATATTTTATGTTGATAAGGACCCGAATTGAAGGATCGAAACGTTCATTTTATTCGTTTTGTTACATTCACACGAAAATAAAGAGTTTTCTGTGCATCCGAACAGCCGATGTAGGCTCTGATGGGCTTTTTTATATTTTTTACAGCTAATTTCATTGTAAAACTTTTGTATAAAATATGTTTTAATGTCTCGAATAGTTTTCGAGAGATAACGAAAAAGCTGAAAACCACTTTACACATAAAAGGGATGATTTCATTCCTTCAAACTTTTTCTGCTGCAACTGATATTTTCTAAATTCATCTTTTTACGTATCCTAAATGTACACAAAGTAGTTCCATTAAAATCAGAGTTTGACACTTCGCGAGATTCCCTTGTAAGTAAAATTATGATTCAAAAACCATCTCATTACGGTGTAATTTTTTACTGCAATAGTAAATAGATGTATGAGACGCGAATGACCTCACGAGGGTGAGTGAAAAACAAAAAATGATGAGTGTGAGTAAAGAATATATATACTTTTTTTTCTATCAGCTCGTTGAAAACTTGTGAATAATTTCTACCAGGAATTCATAGTTTAGTTTCCGATGTTACGGTATAATGAAGCGATACCTCGTTATAATTTCCTATTATAATCAGACGTGTCGCAACGCTCGAAAAGGACGTGTATCATGCATGTGGAAAGATGAAGAACTATGAAACATTTGCAACAGATTGTTATCTTTAATAAATCAAATGACATACAAAGGCCAATCGCAGCAATTCTCAATTGTTTTCTGCAACAACAAACTTTGATTCTCATACCCTATTGATTTAAATGTAATAATTCGCAAGGACACGTATTACTCCTAAGATATAACTTCTTCTGAGGATCGCAGTATTTAACGTGTTCAACGGCGCATCGTCCTTGCGATTGGCTTTCCTTTTTCTCAATCTCTTGTCTCGCTTTACAAAGAGTAGCTCGCTCGTTTTCGATTGTCGAGCTTACACATGTACACAAATTTAACATTCACGCACGCATACACACACGCGAGAGCACGCTAGGAGGAAAAAAAAGGAAAACGCAACGCGCGGAAAGATAATCAATCAACTCTGCTCAATTCACTGAATCGCTGAATCTAAGTAACGTCTAATTTAACACTGTCGAAATTCTAATGGTGCCACTCAATCTCCCGTCTCGTCTCTACCTCCGTTCCGGTTCTCCTTCTTTCTTTCTCTCTCCTTTTTGGTTCACATGTATCGCCTCTGTTGTTTTGTTTTCCCTTTCTCTTTCGTGAAACAACACTTGATTCCAAACCCAAGTTTTGGACCACTCAAAATGAACGAAATGCAAGTCCAAAGTAAAGGAGGAAAAATATATGCTTTAATATAGGTGAGAAAGGACAGGGAAGATTTGACCGAAATCGAAATTGGGAATAAGAGGAATAAGGAGATGAATGGAAAAAGCTGCTGAATTCGCAAACTTAATTGATTATTGTCGTAATAAATGCTAAAAAAAAGAAAGAAAAAAGATCAGCCGGCTCAAAAGCCAATTCAATATAATCTTCGCTATTAATAACATCAGTACACAACTAGCGCTCTGATAATAATAAGTATTAATAATTAATCATAGTGGTAATATAAGAAGAATACTTATAATATTAAGAATAATGACAATATAATCGTAATAATAATAATAATAATGACAATAAGAATAATCGCAGCAACGATGCGGTTTTCATTTTTAGGCTCCTGAATACTCGCCGCAGCCATATTGAATCGTGATGTCATAAGCGGGAAAAGTTAAACTTTCTTGCATACCATTTGTAAATAAAGAGAATGTGGATAAAACAAAATAATCAGATCGCTTTAAAACACTTGTAAAAATGGATGAAAGCTGTCCTTACCTGCCTTGACAGTCAATAAACAGTCGTAAAAGATACGCGGAGTGAAATAGTTACGCATGCGCATTGAATAAACGCACTTCACGTGCCTTTATCATTTTTTACTTATTATTTATTGACTGCCACGACAAGTAAGGACAGCTTTCATCCATTTATTTTTACAAGTGTTTGCGATTTGATTATTTCTATCTTATTATTTTATTTTATCCAAATTCTCTTTTTATAAAAGACCTGCAAGACATTTTAACGTGTCATTTCTCGCTTATGACGTCATGATCTAATATATTCGCGGCGACTATTCAGGAGGTTTAACTTTTTCTTTTTACGAACTTCGCGCAGCGAGAAAGTTTCTATTGCGATTGATGAGTAGTCGTCCCGCAACAAAAGATGTAGATTACATCCTGTTTATAGCGCAAATGTCGGATAATCGCTACACATAATTGTCGTTCGCTACACATATCTATGACAAAGCTACGTGATAATAGCGCGTGACAATGGATAACAGTGATGGTGTGTGTGTGTGTGTAACTTCACCAAATATACAAAAACGTAAGTATATGGAACTCCGTCGCCACTTTGCTGATACTTTTAATACTCTAGCAAAGAGGTCTTTCGTTCACCAACCGCGCAACGTTCATTCGTAAAACAGCAAACAAAACACCAAAAGCTACTCCGTAACAGCTACCCTTTTTGTTATATGTATTACCAAAGAAAATTAAAAAAAGAAAACAAAAAACCAAAGAACATACGATAGAGATAATCAATAGTCATATAAAATGCGTTAATTTATGTGTGGCAATAGTAGTATTAATCTTTTGTGTTGCTTTACTTCGATAGTACTTCTCCCACTAGACACGATTCAACATATAGAAAGTTCATCGTAATTATTTAATAATTGTTTTATTATTTATAATTATTCTCTTAAAGCTGTCTAAAGACTCACTGCGTGGCAGGAGTATCATGTTTTTTTTCTTCTTTCATTTATTTTATATTACTTTGCTTATTCTTACATGTATCAGACGGTATCTTCATTTCTGTTTTCTTTATATCTGTTTTTCTTTCTTTGCGTTTTGTTTAGTTAGGTACGTTTGTAGTTGTCCTCACTTGTTAATAACACATTTGTGTTTTGCACGCTGTATTGCGCGTATGCATTTAATAAGACAGCGTCTCCTTTTTCTAGTCACACCATAGAAGGATGTGTGTGTATGTGTACGTATATATGTATGTGTGTGTGTGTGTCTATGTATATATTTATATCTTAAATATCTACTACTTGTAGATGCTTTCGTGATTTGTAATTTGTATAGATCACAATATCATACCATCTGCGCCATTAAACGATTTTTTTTGTGACTTTTATCTCCCGTTCTCATTTACAATGCTTCTTTGAACACTATACAATGTGTTTACATAAATTGATTCTTGCTAATCTCACTCCGCCTTTCAAAAAAATCAATTAAATTTTATGACGAATGTAAATGATGATCGTGTATAAGCTTGTCAACGAAAAATGGAACATATTATTTTATCTATTTCATTAGATAACAACATATGATATACACACATGCACACACATGTACATACAACAGAGCGAGTTTTACTAAAAAGTATTATTACCAAATCTTAAAATTACTATTACCAACAATCTTAAAATATATAAGTTTTATAAAAAAATATCACGGATAAAATTTGTTTAGTTGAAGGAGATTCTGCAGTCAATACAGTTCCGCAAT